TGAGAATAAAATAACTCAGATTTAATTTTCAAACTACTATTACGTAACTGATTTGGGTGGTAATGCTAGGTGGGTTATTATTAATCACTGGAGGACTTTAAATACTAATTGACCTCACGTTGGAACCAACCTCATGTTGGTCCCTCACAATTATTGTTGTAAATATTTTATTATGAAATACCAAAAACAAAGTAAATTAACATTACTTATATATAATTCACTTTATAGATATATTTATGGAGGTGTAATTGTTTCGGAAAATTCTGATCCTTCAACAATATTTAATCTATTGATATGTTTTAATGAACTTATGTTCGAAGAATTAGTCAAGCATTTTCAATCTCTTCTTATCGATATTAATGCATCTTGGCTTCTCTTGAATTTTTCTCGTGTTTATCAGATAAGTTTTCTTACCGAAAATTTTAAAGCGCTACAGCAATTTTATAACAACTTTTTTGCAAAACATCCGAGTATGATTTTTAACTCTGAAGATTTCACCACGCTTCAAGAAAATGCTTTAATTGCTCTTTTAAAGAATGATGAATTACAAATGGTCGAATCTGAAGCATGGGATAAACTTATTTTATGGGGAAAAGCGAAGATACCGGATCTACCATCTGACCTTAAAAAATGGACAAATGAAAATTTTGGGTCTTTAAAAGCTACACTTCAAAACTGTCTTCCTCATATTAGATATTTTCAAATTTCTGGTGAAGATATCTTAAAGAAAATCAAACCTTATAGAAATATACTTGATGAGAATGTGTGGGATGATATTATGTCAAAATTTGTAGCACCAAATATGCCCGTCACATCTTTAGTTTTACCTCCTCGTAAAAGAGAAGTTGCGCAACTTCCTTATGGGAAATCTTCAATTATTATACCGTCTTCAGTAAATATTATGAGCCAAATTGATAAATTTAGGAGATTATATGAAGAAGATTTGGCAGCATTAGAAGAAAAGGAAGAAAACCTAGATGATGATGGAGAATTAAAGGTCACTATTATTGATGACTATATTGAAAGATTTTCTGCAAACATCATGTCAGTATTGAAGCTACCACAATTGATTGAATCGGCTGAATTATATTTCAAGGATTTTTTATCAGTTTACTCACCAATATCTAATGACAATGAATTCTTATCTTGGATTATTAGTCATAATATTAAACAACAAATACCAAATCCTTTTAGACTTCATATATATTGGTGGAGTAATTTCGAAATTGCGCTAATTGAATTGCAATTATCAAGATTATGTCCTACAGTAATTGAAGAAATGTATAAATTAGAATTTGAAAAAAGCAAGGATTTAAACTTTGAACAATATTTATTAGATCAAATTTCAAAAGTTATGATAGAAAAACTTTGTAAAATTGATATAAATGATACAAATCAACTTTTGATATGGCAACGTGACACCACATATATTTTATCTTTATCAAGCAAATTACCTTTACCTATTTCTTTTGATAATCCAGCTATTAATAAGTTACAAATATATAATGATCTTTCAAAATCCCTTAAACTGAAAAAACTTATTGAAATTCGAAATCTTGAAAAAAATGAAGAAATACTTTCACAACGATTTGTAGATATAGTATTTGAAAAGCTATATGAGTTACAACAAACGGAAGATAATTTTTCATTACAACGATCTTTCATAAATTGTTGTTTAAACTCATTATCAATTGAGTCACCTATTCGTCTTCGTATTTATCAAAGAATTTTTACACAAGAACCTTTACCATTATTAATCTTTCCAATTATTCACCGCATCTTCCTCACAGAATATAATGAAAACAATGAAATATTCTTTTATCTAATTAATGACCCTGCTAGAGTTTTGGATAAATCTAAACATTTAAAATTCATAGAAAATGTTTTAAATAAAAAGCATCCTGATTCAGAAATTTCAGCTTTATGCTGTGATGTAATTCAGACACAATTCTTTTCAACACAAAATTTCTCATTACAAGACTTTCAAAAACTATCAAAATATTTTCCGAAAGCAACAGAAGTTCTAGTTACTGCAAATGTCAAAACGTTACAAAAAATATCCGCGATTGCACTTCTAAAAGTATTTGCAAATAATTTGTGGAATTTTACATCAATTCAAAAATCTTTAACAGATCCTATAAATTTTGAGTTTGAAAATGAGAAAGAGTTTAGCATTTGTGATTTGAACCAACGTTTGAAATTACAGAAACCTTTGATTCATTCTTTAATGTGTTATTTTCTTAAGTCTTTACGATCGAAAGGATTTTCTAACGATGATATCAAACGATTTTGTGAAGTGCAACAACAAACCATGCCATGGCTTGTTGGGCTTATAAGGAATATTAATGTATGGGATGATAGTCGATTGGGTTATAATCCATATTGGTTTGTTGAAGAATATAAACGTGCCGAACTTGCAGTCGCAAAAATGTCAAGTTGTGGAGATTGTAAAGATTTGGATGCATTATTAGAAGATATTTTAGATGAAACAAAAGAAAATTTAATAAATCTTCGAATTTCATTCGCAGGAATAAACATAATGAAGCTTTATATAATTAGAGCAAAACGAGAATGGAATCAATTTGAAACAATGTTAGCACAAAAGATTAAAACTTACTTTGATGAAACTCAGATTCCTCAGTTCTATAAACAGCCATTATTGGGATTTTTATCAAACAAGCATGCACTTTGTAAACTTGTGACCGATGACGATAATAAGAAAATATTTATGTCCTCAGTAATTGCACATATAGTTGCATTACATATTTCTGTCCCTCAAAATTCTTCTCCATTGGCTACATATATGCAAGAATTACAAACGTGTCACGATTATTTTATTTTAGCATGTCCTTCAGATGAGCTAACTGTTATAACAAATGCAATAATTGATGAAGAATATAATGGTATAACAAGGTAAAGCCATTCATTCAACATAGAATGACTAGTATATGTGTTGACGTATTTGATCAATAAACATAATAACAATTTTAAAAATTATTTTTTAATAGATATCAATGCAAATGTGGAGAAATATACTTTGTTGGAGAAGCTGGTCGTGCGTCACACATTGCCCAATGTTCAGCATGCAGAGGAGAAATCGGAGGCAATGAATTGGTTGAAGGAAATACACGTTTAGATAGTAGAAAAATAACACAGAAAATAGATGCAAAAGATCAACATGGTTACATTGTGGAAGAGAAAAATACAGAAAATTTCTACAGTATTAGGTCAATGTCTCCAGCATCCTATAGAATCATTCATCTTTTTGTACATGCTATTATTGGAATACAGGCACCATCCGAAGTTGTTAGTAAATTTATCAAACATAATGTAAAAGAAAATAATACTAATCTTAATGGAGCAGAAGACATGGCGCCATTCTGTGCAATGCACATCAATAATGATTGGAATGCGTTGAAAGTCATACTAGCTTGTGGAGATGAACAATTAGCTTTAGTTTTACATGCAATTCTTTCTGAAATGACACAACAGCCATTACAACAACCAGTAAGATTAAACACACCTATTGAAAGAGAAACTTGGGAAAATCAATTTAGTCAGAAATATGTCTTACCATTAGTGAAAAATGTAATAGGAACTGCAACAGATTTTAGTATGCTGTTAGAAACAATTACAACAAATGCTCAACAAAAGACTAAAGCCGAAGTCAATGAACAAATGGAATTAAACGATCAAAATTACTTGCCCCGACTATGGCGTCTTGTTGGCGACGCAAATTTCAATAATTTTCGAGCATATTACTCGAACAATGTGGAACTTATAGAAGCTTTCCCATTTCTGGCTATTTTTCTAAAACATGAAAACAATTTGCATCTAATAAATAATCTATTTCCAATTGTGAAATTTATTCAAATCTTATCTACACGTCTTTCGTATCGTATTGAAAGAATGGAAGCAAGAACAATTACTTTCAGGCAATTCATTCTTATAGAAAGTGATAGCGATGTTACAGGTGAAACGCGTAGAATATTAGACAAAGCATTCGTTAATTTTGCAAATTCATGGAATAATCTTATCCCATATATCAATAGATATCAATGTCATAATTTACCACAACAAATGCCAAAAATGCATGATAATATACCTATTGTTTTTGGATTATTAGAACCAATTGACGAGAGTTTGTTCTTATGTGCAGCTATAGATTTCTTGGTCCAGCTTCAAAATGATTTCCTTAATGAAGTTATCGAAATTCCTTCAAAAACATGTCATTCCTTAAAATTTCTTGAAAAAATAGAAATTCAAAATAATGAAAGACGTATTCAATCTACATATCATTTAATGTCGACTACTCTCAATAATGCAAGACCGGAACATATTATCTCCTATGATAGAAATTCTTCTAAGATCTTCAGTTTTAGTCAATTTGATTTAAGAATTGGTCATGGTCGTGAAATTCAGTATGATTTACATAAAATCGAAACTGAATTAGCACTAGAATTAGTTTACGAAAAATTATTGATTAAACCCGATAAACAAGAATTGTACTTAGAATCTTTTGCATATCACAAGGAAATATTTTCTAGATATATGACAATTTTGAGTGAAATTAATAGTTTAATACCTCAAGAACATATTCCTGAAGATAAGAAAGCAATATTTGTAGAAACCTATTCTATTAATGAAAATTATAGAGAAGGAAGTTCAGTAGTTGCATTAGAAAATCTAAAGGAATTGCTTTCAGCCTTGGAAATAATACTTTGTTTTCTAAAACGTACATCTGGAAGCAACCGTGACACATTGATCACGGAATACATTGAAAGTTGGATGAAGTTAGTCACATTAAAAGAATACAATAATAGCTACAAGTTATTATTAAGAGCTGGTTTACAACTTAAGCATATAGTGGCACTATATGAATTAGTCGAAGAACATGTTGTTAATGTAGTTGCCACCTGTACTCCTCAAAAATATCAGGAAAAACTTAATAATTCGTTGCAACATGATATTTTAAATGCAGTTGATTTTGAATCATTAGAACAAGGAGAGCAATTCCAAGATGCCAAATCAAATAAAAATTTACGCATTCCAGCTAAGGCGTTTGCTATAGCATTGAAAAGGTTTATTACAAGATACTTGACTACTAGCGAGAGCATTATTGATGTAGAAAATTTAATTTATTATTTGGTAGAAGAAGAAAGTCTAAAATGTTGGCCTGATTGGGTAGATAAAGCTGTTATTAAAAACAAATTTCCTTCATCTTTACGGATTTCACATACATTCGAGGCCTATCAATTTATAAAAGAAACTATTGAGGTAATTATTCTAATATTTATAATATGTAAACATTAAACTTTTGAACATTGAATTATGATTATATGGTTACGATTTATTGATTCTTCTTTATTCTTAATTTAGAAATCTCAGAAAAAATATTAAACCAAGCTGAAATTCAAATTATCTGAATGATGGGGGATTTGAAAATACCTAAAAACAGTTAAATAATTTTTATGTCACATGTGATAATGTTGTTTTATTTTTATAAATAAA